GCATCCCTTGTGCTCTGCCCTGCCCCATGTTAGAATCCAGCCCCTCATCCCCACCCCTGCCAGTGCCCTGTAGCTTCCCTTTCATCTAAATGATGCTCCTGCCTTCAGCAACCCTCCCAGATGTACTTGCTTTGGTGTGTCCAGCCACAGTGACATCTCCTTTTGCTGTTTTTGAGTGCTATCTTACCTGGTCTGCTCATTTTTGTCTTTGGTGTTCTGTCTTTCTAGCTTGCTTTGTATAACAACTTTGAAATATGATTTACATGCTATACAATTCATTCTTATAAAGTACACTTTTTTTTCCCGGTGCTCAGATTGAATCCAGGGCCTCATGTATGCTAGCCAAGTGCTCTACTACTGATCAACATCTAGATGTGTACAGATAATATCACAGCAATTTTTATTACATTTTCAACACGCCTCCCCCACCAAGCCCTCTATGTTTATCTGCCCCTAGTCTCCCTATCCCTGTTGTGGTTTGAATCTAAAATGTTTGCTAAAAGTCTCCTGTTCAGAGGTGAGTCCTGGTCAGAAGAGGCAGGTCCCTGGGGAGACCTGGAAGAAGGTGTCTTCTTGTCCTTGGCTCCTTCCCTCTCCCTCTGCTTCCTGCCTGCCATGATGTAAGCAGCTTTCCTCTGCCATGCCTTTTCAGAATGCCTTTTCTATCTAGGACCCAGCTCACCATGGACTGAATCCACTGAAACTGTGAGCCAAAATATACTTCTCCTTTAAGTTGCAGGTGTTGGGAATTGTGTCTCAGCGATGGGAAAGTTGACTGTACACACCCTAAGCCCAAGGCTGACTACTTTCACTTAGTGTGTTAGTTACTTTTCTTTCATTGCTGAGACAGAATACCTGACACCCAAAATTAAAGGGGAAAGGGTTATTTAGCTCATAGTTTGTAGAGGTTTCAGTCCATAATCAGCTGGCTCCAAGGTGGAGTGGCACATGGCAAAGGGGTGTCACAGGGGAGAAACAGTTCATGGCACCCCCACGGTAGCAGAAGCAACAAGGGACCTTAACAGCGTCTTCCTGCCCCTTTTATCTTATTCAGACTACTTAGGGTGAGTAGCACTCACACCCTTAATCCTCGGGCCTAGCATTGAACCATAAATCAATCATACCCTCTAGATTCAGCCACCTCTGAAAAAGCCTCACCTTAAGACCACATGGGGAAATGTTTGCAGGGTTCATCCATGTTGTGGTGTGCATCAGTATTTCATTCCTTTTAATGACTGAATAATGTTGCATTTTATAGATACACTTCACTTTACTTATCTATTCATTAGTTGATAAGTATTTGGGCTGTTTCCACTTTTGGCCAGTATCATGATCTGAACACTAGTGTACACATTTTCGTGTGGGCATGTTTTCATTTCTTTGCAGTATATACCTAGGAGTGGAATTGCTAGATTGTATAGTAACTTTGTGTTTAACCTTTGAAGAACTTCCAGCCTGTTTACTGGAGTGGTTGTATTTTTTTACATCTCCACCAGCAGTGTATGAGGGTTCTGATTTCTCTGCAGCCTTGCCAACCCTCATTGTTTGACTTTTTGATTGTGGCTATCCCAGTGGTTTTAAAGCACTGTTTCGTTGTAGGTGAATGTTGCTTTTCTCTAATAACTGATGATGTTGAGCATCCTTTCATGTGCTCTTTTGGCCATTTATACATCTTTGGAGAAATTTCTGATCTGACCCTTTCAGATAATGAAACACCTGAGATAATTAATTTATGAAGAGAAAATGTTTATTTTGGCTCCATTTTGGAGGTTTCACTCCATGCTTGATTGGCATTATTGTTTTGAGCTTATGGCAAGGGTGGCACATCAACCAGGAACAAGTGACAAAGCAAATTGCTGTCCTCACGAGCCAGGTAGCAAAGAGAGGAGAAGAAATGGGTCCCACATCCCCTTCAAGGGTGAACCCTCAACCACCTGAGGACCACCAAGGACCACCCAGTCCTGAAGGCATGGGCACCTCCTAGTAGTGCCATCCTGGAACCAAGCTTTTAGCATGTGGACCTGTGAAGCACACTTAGCAAACCATAGCACAGTTTTTTAATGGGGTTATTTTTCTTTTGATCATGGCTTGTGGGAGTTCTTTGCCTCTTTCAAATACACATTCCTTTTTCCTGTTTTTTTTTTTTTTTGTACTGGGGATCGAACTTGGGTCCTTACGCTTGCGAGGCAGGTGGTGGCACCACTGAGCTAAATCCCTGGCTCTCAAATACACATTCCTTATTGGCTATGTGGTGTGCGTATATTTTGTCCCATTCTGGGAGTTGTCTTTTCAGTTGCTTGATTGTGATTTTTCCTTTGTTTTGCCTTTGTGGCACTGGTGATTGAACCCAGGGGTTTGCGCTTGCTAGACAGGCATTCTGTCATTGAGCCCTTTATTAATTTTCTAGATTTTGAGACAGGGTCTTGCGAAGTTGCCCAGGTTGGCTGTGAATTTGTGACCCTCCTTCCTTAGCTTTGTGAGTAGTCAGAATTACAAGCATGTCTGGCTTCTTGGTTGTGTCTTTTGATAAAGCTTTACTTTGATGAAATCCAATACATCCTTTTTTTGGTTTGTTTTGGTACTGGGGATCGAACTCGGGTCCTTGTGCTTGTGTGGCAGGCAGCAGAACCACTGAGCTAAATCCTTTTTTTAACCCCCTTTGGTTGCTTGTACTTTTGGTGTCAAATCTAAGAGTCCATTGCCAACACAAAGTCATTAAGATTGAGCCTTGTGTTTTCTTCTAAGAATTCTTATTGTTTTAGCTCTTACACCTAAGTCATTGACTTTTTTTTTAATTAAGTTTTTTTTTTTTGGCACCGGGGATTCAACTCAGAACCTTGCGCTTGCGAGGCAGGCACCGGAACCACTGAGCTAAATCCCCGGCCCCTAGAATTAGTTTTTGTGTACAATATAAGGTAGGGGTCCAGCTTTATTCTTTGGTATGGGGATATTACATTGTTCTCACACCATCTATTTTCCCCAGTTGAATTGTCTTGGCCCCTGTACTATTCTGTTACTCTGATAAAATACTTGATGCTGTGTACTTAGAAAGAAAAAAGATTTACTTAGCTCACAGCCTGGAGGCTGAAGGTCCAGTAGGGGTGATTCTGGCTCTGGCGAGGGCCCCTTGGCTACAGAGCTTCATGGTGGGTGGGATGACAGTGGCGAGCAGGAACATGTAAGAGAGGGAGCAATCACATCACCAGACCAGAAGCCAGAGTGGGGAGGGGCAGTAAGAGCCTCTCCCAGGCCCACTTCCTGAGGGTAACATTGCCTGTCTACATTGTTATCTGAGGACCGCACTTCCATCACGTGAGCCCTATCCAAACTGTAGGGGCACCTCTGCTGGAGTCGGTGTTCCTTCCAGTTGATGTGTATGTCCAGTCTTGTTGTGTTATTCCTCAGCTATTGCGTTTGTGTACATGCTGTATACATACAAGAGGGATTCGATCATTATTACAATCTTCAGTTACTAAATTAAACATTTGTGGTAATAAATGAAGATACACAAACACACACACGGAAACAGAATTAAGACCCACAGGGCCCAGTGGGAGAGTACTGCCTCTGCTGTTCCTACCCTGTTGTGATGCAGAACCCTATGAGTGCTCTGGTCAGTGCCTCTGTAGATTCCTTTCTAAGCAGATCCATGTGCATACACGTGACAGTTCAGATGCACATTGCGTTTGTAAATGTGGACATATGCTATTCACGCACAGCCAGAGTTATGTTTGTCTGCATTTTAATAGCTGTGTCTATCTTTTTACACAATGGAGATTTACAAAGAACTCTGTGACTTAACACACCCATCCTTCCTGACCGTGTGTATATGTCTTACCTTATTCTCCTTTTTTTTTTTTTTTTTTTTTTGGTACCAGGGATTGAACTTGGGACCTTGTGCTTGTGCAGCAGGTGGTGAAACCACTGAGCTAAATCCCCAGCCCCCTCATCTCATTCTTTCTAATGGTTCCAGACTTTAGAGTGTATACACTAAGATTTCTGTAACCAGTGCCCTGTTGTTGGATATTTATGTTTTTCCAGGTTTTGTCTATTTCCACCAGTATCACAGCGAGCCTCCTTACACATCCCTCTGTGTACACCGGGGAGCGTTTTTCTCAGTCAGATATGTGGAAGTAGAATTGCTGATCATGTCTTTTGTCTTAAAGTCATGTTTAATGTCTTCCCCTCCACTGTGCTTTATGATGCCTTGCACATATTAGGCATTTAATAAATATTTACTGAAGTGAACTCTTAAGGGTTTTTATTCTAGATTTATCCCTAGCTTGCTATTTCATCTCAGTGAACTGTTTTATGACACCCTTATGCCTATTTCACTTCCTCTGAAATGAATGAACATTTTGGTTATCCAGTCTTCATTAGGGGAACCAAGGTGAAATGAATCAAGAAGTATTTTGATTAGCTGCTCTTTGTGGCACTGGAGAGTGTGCAAAGATGGGAGAGACATGGCCCTGGCCATTATGGTGTATACTGACTGTCTGGTAGGAGGTACAGTGCCACCTGAAGAGACACTTGCGTTACGGTGGGCCTAAAGATTGTGGTGAACAATGCTTCACTCCGATGCTGTTGCTGCATTACCCTTCATGGAAGTGTGACTTAGGCTGGTAGAGATGGATGGGGTGGGAGGTGAGGGCTCATTGTGGCTCAGAGGGATGACAGCATGTGTGCCTTCAGAGGGGATGAGAAGGGAGAACCCATTTGGCACTGAGCGCAGGGCATGTGGAGGTGTGGTGGGAAGTGCAGCTGCAGAGCTGGGGGCATGCAGTGTAGCAGGCTGGGCACACCAGGTGATTGGGCATTGCCCTGGGAGGCACTGGGCACCCTGGGTGGTTTTTGCATAGAATTAGATTATCAGAGTTGGTCTTGAGGAAACTATGTTCAGGAAGTCTGGAGTGTGAATAAAGGGAGTCTTAATTGCCAGGAGTTTCTGTGATACAACTTTATCCCGTCCCTCTTTTCCGATTCCTTAATCTTTCCTTTAGCTGTCTGAGAATGTGGTCCAACGCATGAAGGATCCCAGCCCTCTCGCAGAAGGCCAGCAGCCAGCTCCTCCACCTGCTGCTCCGGACTGTGGCTCCACAGCTCCTCAGAAAGGTATGACAGGCACAGCAACTCGGGATGGGGAAGGAGGAAAAAGAGGGACATGTGACAACATCTGACTGCCGACGTGGCTACTCGGGTGACATTAGTGAGTCCAGTCTGCTTGTGCTTTCCCAAGAGTGTGGCTCTCTTGCCTGACAGACGTGGCTGGGGCAATGATGGGTGCATGGTGTCTGGCCACAGGCCAGACTGCTTTCCCTTACTCTGTTTTGGTTTCTCCACGTGGGGAAAATGAGGCAGAAGGTCTTGCTCTGACAACTCAGGTGAGAAGGTGCTTTATGGATTCTAAGAGACACAGAGCCATTCTCAGCCTCAGTGACTCTAACCTAACCTTCATTAGAGGGTCCTGCCTGCCCCCTGGGGCGTTCTCCCTGGGGTGTTCTTCCTGGGGCTTCTAGGAGAGGCTCTAGGAGTTCCTCTTCCCTGCCAGCTGTTGCCTACCTGCTTGTCCCCCAACAAATGAAGAAGTTTATGCTTTTCCCCAAATAGCTACTGTGGCAAACTATCCAAAAAGTTTTAAGAAAAGAGACTGTAAGGTACAAGAAATTAAGATATTACAAAATAAAAGAAGTTCTTGGAACACCTGCTATTTTACTCAATAAAATCAGAATCTGGGCCTGTCACTTGAAACTTGATTTTTTTTTTTTTAAAGAAAATGGACTGGCTGGAGGAGCCATGACAAGAAGGGATGGACAGTGTCACAGTGGATGCCATTCACCACTGTGTCTTCATGTGCATGGCCTCACCCAGTGTCATTTCTACTGATCATCCCTGTCCCTACTCTTTGGTTGAAGGAGTTTGCAAGGTGGGGCTGTGTCCTGCCCATGAGTGCTTCCACAGACACAGGGGCAACTGGGTGAGACACCTCCCTTGGGGCTCACAAAGCTCTAGCTAAGGTCCAGATGTGCTCCCTGAGAGGTTGTGACTTGTGTCGCAGCACTAGAGGGCTGCCTTGCCCAAGGTCCGGGATGCTGCGGGGTGGGCTTATTGTTCTAGGAAGGGCCCTGGATTTAGACAGGGTTATAGGTGGATTTGGGAGCAGAAGCCCAGAGGTGTGGAGTGGCCTGGCCTGTTTGGTAACCTAGAAGCAGTTTGCTATCTCTGGAATACAAAGTAGAAAGTATGGGGAGACATTGGCCAGAGAGCTCTGGCTTCATCCTCATAGCCTGGAGGTGTCAGCCAGGTGGTCTGACACCTCTGCCTCTCCAGGGATGTCTGCCTTGGGGCTTCTGCATGCAGCAGAGCTGGTCCTGCCTGGACTGGACTCATACTGAGTCTTTTTGAGGGGGCCGAGTGAGATTCGAGAAAGCCCCACAAGATGCCTCTGTATTTTACCAAAAAGCTTAATTTCTGTGATCCACCTGTAGTTGATGGATGAGAGGGGTTGAAGAGGATCTAACATGACCCGATGTGTAACAGATTCACCAGTGAGAAGGAGAAATTGATAAAAAACAAAACAAAACAAAAACTGCCAAGTATGTGACACGTCAGCTTCAGCTCTGAAATGAAAGACGCATTTGCTTCCTTTTTGGTTTCGGCATTGTAAAAAGGAAACATAGTGGTTTGTTTGTTGTTTGGTTTTAGTTGTAACAAAATATTTTGCAGTTGAAGTGATGAGCGTGTGTTTTGAGTTTCTGAATTCTGAAGAAGATTTAAGATAAGTGGACCGCCTTGAAGCGGACTCATTTTAAGATATGTTTAACTCTTAAAACCAGTTTTCTGCATTTATTTTAGTGATGGAACAAGGTTAGAAAAAGAAGTTAAAATTAAATCCTCATCTCACACCACAGCCCTAAATAAATGCCGGAGGAAATAAAAGATGTAAGTGTAAGAATTGAAACCATAAAAATAAAAATGGATTTTCTAAGCATCACATCAAGTGAGGAAACCTTAAATTAAAGAACAAAATTAGAAAATTGACTATCTGAAATTAGAGACAATTTAAAAAAACAACCCAAGGAATGGATGATAAATGAGGGAATGTGTAACATTTGACAAAGTACTAGTAATCTTAATGTATGAAGAGATCCTTAAGAGAACACAATAGAAAATGTGCATAAATGGTCTGGTATTTATATGATGAGACTTTTGACTTTGCTAATAATTGAAGACACACATATTAAGCCAATAGGTGCCAAGGGAACAAGGATGCTAGCCGAATCCTACAGGCAAGGGAGAAATGTAGATAAGTGCCACATTCTTAACAGTGGGTAGGTATATTATTTTTGTAGTTGTAAAATATGAAAACTATATCAAAAGCAAAAATAAATACTATAAATTGTACCTCAATGAAGCTGTTGGAAATGAAGAATGAGGAGCATTAATGTCAAAATAGGACCCCAGAAACAGTCCATTCACTTTTCAGTCTCCGTGGAGAGCCTGGGGTGTTCCTGCAGAACACGTGAGGTGTGTCCTCCCCAGGCTGGAGCTGTCCCCGGCTGTGCCCATGCAAGCCAGAGTGAGTCATGGGCTGGCCTTTCTTGGAAGTGCTTCCTGGAAGGGCACCTTGGCCGCTGGGGTAGAAGAGTGAAGGCTTGGTCCTTCCTTGACGAGCCTGCTACTTCTGTCTGCTGCTTTTGTTTGGTTCTGGCTGCTGCAGCAGCAGAAACCAGTGATGGAGAGAACATCAGAGAAGACTATGGAGAAGTGCCGAGCTTTGGCGACAGAGTGTTTGGAAGGGTGGTAGCCAGGGTGAAGGGAGCATAATAACATTCAGGGTCACCAAGTGGTGGAGAGAGTAAAGTGGATTTGCTCAGAAATCGCCAAATTGATGATGACAGCCTGTAACAACCTAATGATACTAGAAGTGATACAGGTTGATGGAAAAAAAAAAAAAGAACCAAGATACATCATGTAAGGGTACAAGTTCCCAACGATGAATGTAACTCTATTGTATGCCTAAAATGTACCAATAATTTGAATGGAAAAAAAAGAAGTAATACAGGTTGTTGTGGTATAATAGGTTTAATATGGGGTGTTGTCACATGCAGAATTGGCAATCAGTAGAATAGGACATTGGATTAGTTTGTTTTCTGTTACTGTAACTGAATACCTCAGGCTGGCTAGTTCCTGAAGAGAAGAAGTTTCTTACAGTTCTGGAGTCTGGGAACCCAGTCTGGTTGATGAGCCACACTTGGTGAGGACTCTGGTAGCACAGAATATCATATGGTGAGACAGAGCAAGTGTGCAAGCTCAGGTTTCTCTTCCTCTTCTTAGAAATCCACAGATGCCATTATGGGCCCCGGCCTTGTGACCTCATCCCATCCTAATTACCTCCCAAAGCCTCATCTCTTAACACTCTTAGAATAGTAATTAAATCTCAAACTATAGCAGGTACTAAAGGAAGCAAAATTTAAGGAGCCTTCTGGCCTCTCCTGCCCCTATGCCAAAACCTAGACCTAGGAGGCTGTTCTCATGGAGCAGAGCACTGGCTTCTGCCAGCCACATCTGGCCTGTGTTTAGGATGTGACCTAGATTCCAAATCATGATTGAATGAGTAGTGATGGATTTGGAACACTGCATAAAGTGGCTATAAGCCCTGTGCTGTTAGCACCTGCTGCAGAGAGATCTTGTCCATTGGGGCACAAGAGGAGCCTTAGGGTCAGCAGGCTGCTTGAATCAAGGACTGGTCCCTCTTCCGTCTGCTGGGGCTCATTGGTCTATCTGTGGGGCACGCTTCTCTGTGGGGGACATGTCTGTTTGTGGGGTACACTGTTCCAAAGGGGGGGCACACCTTCCTAGGCAGGGGTATGTTCCTGAGCCCTTTTTTGGGTGACCAGCATGCCTTCTGACAGCATTCTTTTTCCTTTTCCTTTGCAGAACCCAAACTGCCCACGTCCAAGATTGGTGGTGGCCGGCAGCCCTCGGGAGTGAAGGAGGACCTCAAGAGGTAAGCCTGAGCATCCGCCACAAGTGCTATGCTCCACCTAAAGCATCATTCCTTTTTGCCAGTGGGCTCTCTGCTGGGGCCCTGGAGGTTTTGTCTTGTGTTTTATCTCATTTGTGTTGAGGGACAGCCTTGTGGTATAGGTGGCACTGTCCTAGTTTAAAGATGAAGAAATTCTAACAGGGGCCCAGACGAGCTGGGCTTTTAAAAATCCATTTTAAAAAGCCAGGACTAAACAGCAAGTGGCTGGCCTCTGTGTGTGTGGAGGGGGACGGGCCGTGTGTGTGCATGCACCCCTGTGTGCTAACCCATGCATGCACCTACAGGCATGTTTTTAGATAGATGAGGAAAGTGCAGCCCTCCCATTTCTCACTGATGGACTGGCTCCAGGATGTTGGTGACTTCCTGTCAGCTAGGCCAGGGTCCTGAGAGCCAGCCACACCTCTGAAATGGAACCTGCTTCCTGTCCCCTGAGGACTTGTAGAAAAGTGGTTAAGGCCCAGAGGCCCCTGGGCCCTACAGACCAACATATAGCAGTTCTGTGACCCACTAGTCAGCTGGGAAAGTCACTGTGTTTAAGAAGGGCTAAGAAGAGTGCTTCTCTAATTGGGTGTTGTCATGACTTAAAAAGTTAGGGCATATAAGGTGCAGAAGCATGGTGCCTGGCGCACAGAGTGCTCAGGGATTACCGGTTGTAGTTATCACCAACTGGCCTCCTCAGGGCCCTTGGGGAAGCTGGCTTCTGTGGTCAGAGGAGAGGTAAATTATGGCCCAGTGTCTGCCTCACTGGGGGCTTTGGCCCTCCAGTGAGAAACCCATGCTGGATTAAGACCCATACCCTAAGAATTTGCCCGCCCTACTCCTAAGAGGCCCCTCTGAGAGTAACCTGAACCAACTTGAACTCTTCCTCCATCTCTTTTTGGGGTACTGTTAAACAATTTAAAATGTTAAAGTAATATTTGGTAGAAAATATATAAAATGAAAGAAATCCCCTTAGACTCATCATCTCAGTATAACCACTGTTAATATTTTGGAGCGTCTTTCACATGGCTTCTTTCCCTTAGTTTAGGATTATGTTTTAAAGCCATATGTAATTTTACGTCTTGCTATTTTCACTTAGATTATATTTTCCATTAGTTACACCTGCTTTATAAGCATTTTATTGCTAAATATATTGTTTACTTATTCTAATTTTAGATTCAACATATAGGTAAGTCAAAGAGTGTATTCTCCTTGATGGTATAATATACCATGGTATGAGTATGTTATATTTTATTTACCTTGACCTTGACGGTTGTACATTTAGATTTCGTGTGTGTGTGTGTGTGTGTGTGTGTGTGTGTATGTGTGTGTGTTTGGTACCAGGAATTGAACTCAGGGCCTTGCACTTGCTAGACAGGCGCTGTGCTGCTAAGCTATATCCCCGGCCCTGGATTCGTATGTTTTTAATCTATAATCAATAATATCTAAGAATGTCTTAGCACTAACAGTTAGTTTTCTCTGTATAGGATTATTTTTGTAGGCAGAATGCCCAGAATAGGTCAGAGGGTAGGAACATATAGTTAAGTGTTCAAAGCAAGACTGCTGAAACCTTGGGCTCTCTCTCAAATGGTGCCAGCGGGGAGTTGGGGCCCCTCATCCTGCCTCTCTCCTTTGAAGGAGGGGCTCACTTGGGATTCAGCCCAGTCCCAAGGCTCTTGTCGGGCACGTGGCTGCCTGATTCTTCACCTGATGGCCAGCTCTCCTGTCCTGCCCTGTGCCGAGACACCCTCTCCTGGCATTAGGAGCTGTTCCTGATGTCTGAGCTCCAAGGGGTCTGGGCCTTCCTTTCCTGGCTGGCCTCAGAGTTCCATCGGCCCACAAATCCCAGCCCTGCTGGGCCAGCTGAAGCAAACATGATCATACCTTTTCCTGCTGTTATTCTGCCAGTCGTGCCTTCTGCATCTGCCTCTCCCCTCTCTTCTGGCCTAGGTTTAGACAGGAGCAGGCCACAGTGCAGGATGAGCTATTCCGGGTGGTGAGGCGGGAGAGAGAGGCAGCTGCCAAGCACGTGACAGCGGTCCCGCCTGCGGTGGAAGGCAGCACTGACCAGGAGAAGCAGCAGTCGGCCCGGCTGGTGAGTGCACGTCTTCCTGGCTACTGCGTCTATGTACAGCCCATCAGATTCCTCAGCTCCACCTCTGTGGAAAGGGCGTCTTAGGACCAGGAGCTGTGGCTCTTCCAGCTCTGGCTCTGTTACTGGTTTGCTTTGCTGCTGTAAGGTCCAGATCATCTGAGTCTCATTCCTCTCTGAAACTTCACAGGTGCCAGGGTGCATTGCTGTGTGTGCCAGGAGGGTATTAAGAGGGAGGGCCAGGGGCTTGGACACACAGTATACAGCATGGAGAGCATCACTTTGAGTCAGGCTGCCTGGGTATAAACCTGGGCTCCCTTCTTACTAGCTCAGGTACATTGTTGGAGCCTGGCTCAAGGATCATGATGTTCACACCACAGGATTGCCTGGGGGATGGAGAGAATATCTTCCCAGGGCTTAGCACGTGTCTGGAAAATTATGAAAGTGTGCTATTAATGCTGCTACTGTGATTAATACATGTCATTGATTGGAGGCCATTAGTCAGGATTCTTTCTGCTGAAATGTAGAGTTATTTCCCAACATGAGATGTCCAGAAACAGCTCTGGCGCTGACATCAGCATCTTCAGGGACCCAGTGCCCCTCCTTCCTCTCTGCTATCCCCAGTGTGTGGTCTGTACTCAGGCTGACTGTCCCTGCAGTTCAGTGGTGGCCATGGGGACCTCATGGTCACACACTCAGCTGCAGAAGAGGAGACACTGTCAGCCCACATGTCTCCACCTGCAAGAACCTCTTAACCAGAGCCCCTGAGAGAACTGCACGAGGTGCTATGATTGAACCAGTCCTTGGCATAGCGACTGCACCTAGGGCGCTTTTCTAGGCACACTTTGAGGGTGGACAGCCAGATGGAATTACGGCTCACAGTGGGGTAGAAGGAATGGCTATTGGCTGCATCTTGGGACATGGGCCCTGCACTGGGTATGCAGCTCAGTGCCCACAGAAGGGAGGATAATCCACATGAGATTGCCTCCAGGGATGGGATGGCAGACCAGCTAGCTGGGCACAGGCCTCTGCTTACTAATTTGTTGATGACACAGATGTTCAAAGCATGCAGTGGGTGCATAAGCCATTCTGGGTTAACTGGGCTCTCTGGGAAGTACAAGGAAGCTCCGAACCCTCAGGAAATTTTCACTACAGTGGGGAAGATACATTGAAGCCAAGAACTTTCAAAAGGCCAAATTGGTTACATACATGTTAAATGTCAGTAAAGATGAAATGATTTGGGAATTAGGGGAGTCGTGTAAAGTGCTGGTGGCCAGAGGCGGCATTCTACCTCAGCCCCGGAAGCTGTGTGGCCCTCCCAGCTGGAGGAGGCAGCTGGTCTGGCACAGGGGACAGGACACTGGTTGAGAAGAACATGGTCTGAAGCCAGATTATAGGTTCTGGATGCCTAGAGGAGCTTACAGAACAGCCCAGAGTGACTATTATGCGGTAGAGGTTTCTAAAGTTCATAAGGATGGGAGCGGTGCCCTCTGACTTTTGCAGCCCTGCGGATCCCACAGAAGTCAGTGGCTGTAATGACAGGACAACATGGTCTTAGAGGTTCTTGCAGTTCATCTCTAAGGCAGGCAGCCTGAGAGCCACACCCAGAGGGCTCTTGTCCTGGAAAGGAAGGGTTAATCAGTTTAGACAGAGCAGGAAAAGCCACCTGGAACAGTCAAGAGATGGAAAATCACAGCCTACAGGTGTGCCAGCTCTTCATTCTCACCTGGAGAGTGTTAATTACAGTGAAGGAGAATTCACAGCTTTCCTTTCCTCCACTTGTAAAGGAAAAGGTTGGCCTGCACTGCCTGGACTGTCCCTGGGAAAAGAACTTCTCTTATGCTGGTAAAGTAGGGAGGAACTTAGATGATTCTTGGCACAGGTGTGTCGCTTTTTTTGGGTTTTTTTAAGTGAAGGGTGACTTTAGAATAAAGTATATTCATACTTGATTTCCTCCCAGATTTTGAGGTAGATAATGCCCTTCTCTGAACCATTGTTTCTAGGGAACAGCGAAGACAGTTACTTCTTTTAGTTTGGAAATACTTAACTTTTGTGGGCATTCCCATTTTTTTTTTACTGTTCTGCATCCATTTCTCCTTGCAGTTGATGTTCTAGGTTCCTTTTGGGAATGTTCCTGTTTCCTGTGGAGCATAGCCTTGATGGGATTGTAATCCCAACGCCCAGTTTCCTGTGTGGAAATGGATGTGGCTACAGGTCCCAAGCTCAGTCAGGGAAACATCTGCCCCCAGGACTGAGTTCCAAGTGAGTCTAGAGGAGGCTGGGAGACCTGGCTGGAGTTCCTCACGGCAGCTCAGGTGGCTGTCAGGCCTGCATGCTGACACTGTCGTGTACCCCAGGCTGCCCAATGATTCTGTCTGGGCCACCTGCCTTCTGGAGGATTGTGTCACCTTCTGATCACTGCCTGTCCCTCTGCTTTGCCGAAGTTTGCTGGGGTTGTTTTCTGTTGTGCGGAGCCGTGGCAGAAGCATGTCCTGCAGGAGGTGCTGTAGCAGATGATTTGGGGGGCAGGCAAGAGTAGAATGGAAGCCAGGTGCTGTTCAATAAATTGACAGCAACACCAGGCAGCCAGCTGAAATGCTGGGTGGATGCTATTGCCATCACTTTTAAAGGAAGCAGCTCCCTTTGGATTGGGGTGGTATGGTTTGGCAAGTGCTTTAGTGAAGATAATTCCAAAACTGTACTTTGGAAGACTTAAATAAGAGGAGAAAGAAGAAGAGAAGAACCTGAACAAAGTATTTTCTCATCCAAGTCTTCCACATGCAAGGATTGAAGGCGGCGGTGAGTTGGCAGCCTGCTGGGCTGGGTGCCGAGGGCCTGGTAGTTGGAGGTGTGGGTCCCACACTGGGGGCGGGGCAGCATGGCGTGCTTGCTGGCAGGATGAGCTGGCTGCCTGTTGCTCCTCAGGCCTTCTTCATACTCGGTGTCCCTGAGCCCCACACTCCGACCTGGAACCTCATCTGAAGGACTTGCTTTTGACTGGACTCATTTGACAGTTGACATTTAATGTGGTCTCCTGCCCTCTCTGTTTGCCTCTGACTTTTACAATATTGATTTTTTAATCCTCTTCTGCATGAGCGAATGATTCAGCTCATTATTGGGAAAAGTTAATAAAACTAATGACAAGGAAAGGTAATAATTTTTATAACTTACTTCTGATGATAAGTGATGACATTTCTCATCTAGCACAGCTGTGTGAATTGTTCTATGTGTGTTTATCCATTTCCTGTCCCTTGCAGACCGGTCCAGCCCCTTGTCCTGCTCTGGGTGGAGGCTGTGGGTGTCACTGGAGCCCGCGGTAGCTGTGCTTCCCTCTGAATTGGCAGAGGAGGTCTGGAGTCCAAATCAAACACCCTGCATAGAAATAAAGAACAATGCAGTTTGTTGATCTCAGTGTTCTTTTTTTTTTTTTTTGGTACTGGGGATCGAACTTGGGTCCTTGCGCTTGTCCAGCAGGTGGCAAAACCACTGAGCTAAATCCCTGGCCTGATCTGAATGTTCTTACAGGTAGAGCTTTAACTACTCAATGGATGGAGTAATAAAGGCCTGGCAGAAGCTTTACTTTGGGGGAGAATAAGATTTATGACCTTGCCTGTTGCTTCCCCAACACGTATTATTAGTTATATGAGATTTCAGTGCACCTAACAGAGAGCAGAAACGTTCATTTCTTTTCCATTTTGGTGTTC